GTGATTTAATATAAAAGACTTATTATAAATAAATGTGGTAAATTATTCATTTATCTAATAAAACTGAGCTAGAAAATAAGGTAATAGATGATCAAACTTAATATTGAGCTTTGAATACTCTGATTGAACCAACAGCCCTGATTCATATTCCATTATTAGATTAGCAAATATTAAAATTTTATAACACATAGTATTTCATAGCTCCATGGAAACTCCTTTATCTAGTTTTGTTCAGAGGAATAAAGTATAGCATGTTTATAACTGTTTAAAAAACAACCCCATCTAAGCCAGGTGTTGCAACATCAGCCTTTAATTATAGCCCACCAAGACAGGGACAGGAGAACTGTGAGGTTAAGGATAGTCTGGGTTACATAACAAGTATAAAATAAAGTAAATAGTGAAAAATCAAATACATTTGTAAAATTAGATTTTAAAAAATAGGTGTTTAAGAAATGGCTTTGTCAATAAATTACATTTGCCACACAATCACGAGAACCCGAGTTCAGCCCCCAGTCCCCATGTAAAAAGCCAGACATGATGGTGAGTGTTTGTGGTCCTAGCACAATGGAAACAGAGATAGGCAGAGCTGTGGACCTGTGATCAAACAGTCTCTCTCTTCAAGTCTCCAAAGAAGAGCAAAGAACAAGGTTGATGTGCTGACTCCCAAGTAATGGCATATGAGGTTGTCCACCTCATACGCTCACACATATGTGCACTCCCAAACACACACACACACACACACACACACACACACACACACACACCCCAACAGTGAAGTAAAATAAATAACCTCTCTTCCAAAAGTTGAGTGCATGCTTTTAGTATTATACATATCTGTATAAAGGCTGTTAGCTACAGCATTGTTATCAAGACTTAAACTACTGTCCACAGCTGGATGGCCACACAAGGAACAATCCGTTACCATGATATAAGATATACTTACATGAGAAAATGCCTACAATATGTTTTTTAAATACATCACATCACAATTACAAATATATATGTCAAATGAATATGCATATTTACACATATACACCTATATTTTACAAGTATTATATTGATGGTACTTAAAATGTTTTTTTTTTTAAATTGAGCTATACATTTTCCCCACTCCCCTCCCATTGTCCCCTCTCCCATTTTACTCTCCCCCTGCTCCTCAAACTCCCAATTTACTCAGGATATCTTTTCTTTTTCTTCTTCCTAGGCACATCCATGTATGTCTCTCTTGGGATCTTCTATGTTACCTAGGTTCTCTGGGGTTGTCTTTAACTTTGTGTCTACTACCTACTTATGAGTCAGTACATATTATATTTGTCTTTCTAGGTCTGGGTTACCTCACTTAGGATGGCTTTTTCTTTTTTCATATTTATTTTTATATATATTTATTATTTTTCTTATTTTACATGTCAATCCCAGTTCCCTCTCCCACTCTCCCTCCCAACGCCTTCCCATCCCATTCCCTCCCTCACTCCACAGGGAGGGTGATGTCTTCAAGGAGGGATCATCAAAATCTGTCAAGTCACTTGGAGTAGGGACTAGGCCCTCCCTTCTTCCTCTAGGCTAAGGAGTATCCCTCCATGGGGAATGTGCTCCCAAAGTAGGATGGCTTTTTCTAGTTCTGTCCAATTGCCTGAAAATTTCAAGATGCCATTTTTTTTTTATTTTTACTGCTGAGTAGTACTCCATTGTGTAAATGTACCACATTTTCTTTATCTATTCTTTGGTTGAGGGATGTCTAGGTTACTTCCAGGTTCTGGATATTACAAATAATACTGCTACGAATATAGCTGAGCAAATGTCATTGTGGTGTGAGTGTGAATCCTTTGGATATATGTTCAAGAATGCTGTTGCTGGGTCTTGAGGTAGATCGATTCCCCATTTTCTGAGAAATTACCATACTGATTTCCAAAGTGGCTGTACATGTTTGCATTCCCACCAGCAATGGAGGAGTGTACCCTTTTCTCCACATCCTCTCTAGCATAAGCTGTCATCAGTGTTTTTGATTTTAGACATTCTGACAGTTGTAAGATAGAATTTCAGTCATTTTGATTCACATTTCTCTGATGAGTAAGGGTGGTGAGCATTTCCTTAAGTGTCTTTCCACCATTTCCTCTGTTGAGAGTTCTCTTTTTAGACATACATGTACCCAATTTTTTTTTTTATTGGATTATTTGGTCTTTTGATGTCCAGTTTCTTGAGTTCATTGTATATTTTGGAGATCAGCCCTCCATCAGCTGTGGGATTGGTGAAGATCTTTTCCCATTTTGTGGGCTGCCCTTTTATCTTGTTGACTGTCCTTTGCTTTACAGAAGCTTCTCGGATTTAGGTGGTCCCATTTATTCATTATTGCTCTCGGTATCTGTGCGACTAGTGTTTTATTTAGGAAGTGGTCTCCTGGGCCAATTCGTTCAAGGCAACTTCCCACTTTCTCTTCTATCAGGTTCAGTGTGGCTGGATTTATGTTGAGGTCTTTGATCCATTTGGACTTGAGTTTTGTGTATGGCAATAGATATGGATCTATCTGCAGTCTTCTACAGGTCAGCATCCAGTTATGCCAGCATCATTTGTTGAAGATGCTTTCCTTTTTTCCACTGTATAATTTTAGTTTCTTTGTAAAAAATCAGGTGTGGATGTCTTTGATTTAATTACATTGTCTATCTGTCTGTTTTTATGCCAATAAAAATGTTTTCATTATTTCAATATTCAAACTATAGTAGAGTTTGAAGTCAGGTATGGTGTGCTGGGATTTGGATGGGGATTGAATTGAATCTGTAGATTGCTTTTGGTAAGATTGCCACTTTTACTGTGTTAATCCTATCTATCCAAGAACATGGATAATTTCTTCAATTTCTCTCTTCAAAATTTAAAGTTCTTGTCAATACAGGTCTTTCACTTGTTTGATTAGAGTTACCCAAGACTTTTTGTGTTATTTGTGGCTAATGTAAAGGATGTTGTTTCTCTGATTTCTTTTTCAACCCTTTTATCATTTATCATCATATATAGGAGGGCTACTGATTTCTTTTTTTAGGTTAATCTTGTATCCTGTTACATTACTGAAGGTGTTTATCTGTTGTAGTAGTTCCCTGATAGAATTTTTTTGGGGTCACTAATGCATACTATCATATCATCTGCAAATAGCAAAAGTTTGATATCTTCTTTTTCCTATTTGTATCCCCTTGATCTCCTTTTGTTGTCTTATTGCTTTAGCTAGAACTTCAAGTACAATATTGAAGAGATACGAAGAGAGTGAACAGCATTGTCTTGTTCCTGATTTAAGTGGGATTGCTTTGAGTTTCTCTCCATTTAGTTTGATGTTGACTGTTGGCTTGCTTTTTTGCCTTTATTATATTTAGGTATGTTCCCTTTATCCCTGCTCTCTCCAATACCTTTATCAGGAAGGGGTGTTGAATTTTGTCAAAGGCTTTTTCAGAATTTAATAAGTTAATCATTTTTTCAGTTTGTTTATATGGTGGATTACATTGACAAATTTTCATACATTGACCCATCTCTGCTTCTCTGGGATGGCCATGGTGGATGAATTTTATGATATGTTCTTGGATTTGGTTTGCCAGTAGTTTTGCAATGATGTTCATGAGGAAGATTAGTCTATACTGTTATATCTTTGTTGTGTCTTTGTGTGGTTTGGGTATCAGGGTCTGTAGCCTCATAAAAAGAGTTGGACAGTGTTCCTTCTGTTTCTGTTGTGTGGAATACTTTGAGGAGTATTGGTATTAGTTCTTATTTGAAGTTCTGATAGAATTCTGTGCTGAAACCTTGTGGCCCTGGGCTTTTGTTAGTAGGAGATTTTGATGACTGTTTCTATTTCTATAGTGGTTATAGGTCTATTTAACTTGTTTATCTGGTCTTGATTTAATTCCAGTATATGATACTTATCCAGAAAATTGTCTGTTATTTTAAATTTTCCAATTTTGTGGAGTGTAGGTTTTTAAGTATGACCTAATGATTCTCTGGGTTTCCTCAATGTCTGTTGTTATGTCCCTCTTACCATTTTATTAATTTGCATATCCTCTCTCTGTCTTGGTTAATTTGGATAAAAGTTTGTCTCTTATTGATTTTCTAGAATAATCAACTCTTTATCTCCTTGATTCTTTGTATTATTTTCTTTGTTTCTATTTTATTGATTTTGGCCTCAATTTGGTTATTTCCAGTCATCTACTCATCCTAGTTGATTTTGCTTCTTTTTGTTCTAGAGCTTGCAGTTACTCTGTTAATCCACTAATGTGGTATTTCTCCAGCTTCTTCATGTAGGCATTTAGTGCTATGAACTTTCCTCTTAGAACTGCTTTCTTTGTGTCTGATAAGATTGGGTATGTTGTGCTATAATTTTTATTGAATTTTAGGAAGTCAATTTCTTTTTTTATTTCTTTCTTGACCCAGTGGTGATTCAGTTGAGTATTGTTCAGTTTCCATGAGTTTATGGTCTTTCTGGAATTTTCATTGTTGTTGAATTCTGATTTTAAGTCATGGTTATCCAATAATATACAGGGGGTTATTTCATTTTTTCTTTCTATCTGTTAAGTTTTGCTTTGTTACCCATTAAAAGGTTGTTAAAGAGAACACTTGAGAGATGAATTCAGTTTCCTAAAGCTCCCCATTTATGTTATCCATAATTGAATTTTTAAATAGTTTTGTTTAACATGTGTTTATCACATATTAATTTATAAAAATATTGTCTCCTGTTATTTGTTAAGAGTTTAATCATTTTGTACCTAAGAAGAAAAAGCTGAACTTTGCAAGGCAGAGGGGCTGTGCTGGTGGACTATGACCCTGTTGCACAGAGAGTGACTGTACCTGTGGGAATGAGCCATGGCTAGTGTCATTAGGGAATCATCAATGTCATGGCCACCACTGGCCTTCTGTACACACCTCATTGAATTTCAGGAGGACGATTCTCTGTGTTCCTTGAGAGCAGCCTCTTATTTTGTCAATGACTGTCCCGAGAAACTGGCTCAGGCATCGCACAACAACACAATAGTTGTTTTCTTCTCTTACTGTGAAATTATGGTGGCTATGCTGGCTATGCTTATGGGATAGATTAAAGGTGTCATGATATGAAGACAGAGGGCTTTTCAGTGTCCTCTGTGAAATGGCTGGACATAACACTATTGCCTTTGATGGTTGACACTATGCAATACATGGTAAAAACTCAAAAGTCTCTGTAATAGACTTGTAAGAAGTTTTATCTCCTATGCTTTAAACATGGAAGCAGCACACTACATCGATAAACATAAATGTTAGTGCAGGGTGAACATGTGTTTTCCTGATCATACTGCTAGGCATCTGTCTTTCTAAATTAGTGAAGTAGGTGTTGACTTCTTCTCTATTATGGTGGTAGATGCAGTGCTGTTATTACACAGTTAAAATTGGAATTAAAACTGATCCCCTTTTAAACTGTAACTAGATTTGTATACATTTTGCTTTGATTGCACATTTAAGCTTAGGTAATTTCAACTCTCTTTTACAAAAAAAAAAAAAACAAAGCAAAAACCCAGTAGTTGTTTTCTAATCTGAAGTGAAGTTGGAACAGAAAAGGACAAAATCCTCTCTGTAGAACCATGTTTTTGGTTGAGAAATGAGAGTGGAGGAGGACATTGACTAAGCATGGACCTTAGTTTTTCTACAGACAGTGATTCACCATATAAGCTGGCCACAGACTGCTGGGGTTATGCACCTGTGCCACTATGAGGACATTAGTAGGAAGTCTCAATGGGATTTCAAATTGATTCCTCTCGGCCTCCTTTGGAATGTGATTCCTCTAAAATCAGGAACATGGCAAGGCTGTCCACTCTCTCCATAACTCTTCAATATTGTACTTAAAGTTCAAGCTAAAGCAAAAAGAAAACAAAAGGAGATTAAGGGGATACAAAATAGGAAGGAAAAGGTCAAACTTTCACTATTTGCAGATGATAAGTGACCTGAAAAGCTCTACCAGGGAACTCCTACAGCTGATAAACACCTTCAGCAAAGTGATAGGACACAAGATTAATTAAAAAAAAAATCAGTAGCCCTAATATATACAGACAACAAAGGGGCTGAGAAAGAAATCAGAGGTACATCACCCTTTACAATAGCCACAAACAACATAAAGTATCTTGGGGTAACACTTACCAAACAAGTGAAAGACCTATATAATAAGAACTTTGTGTCTTTAAAGAAAGAAATTAAAGAAGATGCCATAAATTGGAAACATCTCCCATGCTCTTGGCTACATATGATCAACACAGTAAAAATGGCAATCTTGCCAAAAGTAATCTACAGATTCAATGCAATCCCCATTAAAATCCCAGTACAATTCTTCACAGACCTTGAAAGAACAATACTCAATTTTATATGAAAAAACAAAAGACCCAGGATATTTAAAACAACCCTGTACAATAAAGGAACTACCGGTGGCAATACCATCCCTGACTCCAAGCTCTATTATAGAGCTATAGTCCTGAAAACAGCTTGGTATTGGTGCAAAAACAGGTAGGAAGACCAATGGAATGGAATTGAAAACCTTAATATTAATCCACACACCATAAACACCTGCTTTTTTTTTTTTTTACAAAGAAGCTAAAGTAATACAATGGATAAAAGAAAGCATATTTAACAAATGGTGCTGGCATAACTGGATGTTGACTTGTAGAAGACTGCAGATAGATCCATATCTATCACCATGCACAAAACTTGAGCCCAGATGGATCAAAGACCTCAACATAAATCCAGCCACACTGAACCTCTTAGAAGAGAAGGTGGGAAGTACCCTTGAAAGAATTGGTACAGGAGACTGCTTCCTGAACAACACCAGTAGCACAGACACTGAGATCAACTATTAATAAATGGGACCTCCTGAAATTGAAAAGCTTCTGTAAGGCAAAGAACACAGTCAACAAGACAAAATGGCAAATAAAGAAAATGTGGTACATTTATACTATTCAGTGGAAAAAAAAACAATGGAACCTTGAAATCCACAGGCAAATGGATGGAACTATAGAAGAAACCATCCTGAGTGAGGTGACTCAGTCACAAAAAGACAAACACAGTATGTGCTCACTCATATGTGGTTTTTAGACATATAGCAAAGGATTACCAGCCAATAATCTACACCGCCGGAAAAGCTAGTAAACAAGGAGGACCCTAAGAGAGACATAAATGGTCCCCTGGAGAAGGGGAAAGGAGCAAGATCTCCAAGCAAATTGGGAGCATGGGTGGAGGGGAGAAGTTAGGAGGAAGGGGAGGCGAGTGGTGGGCATGATGGAGCAGGAAGATTGAGTCAGGGAAAGAATAGAAGAGAGCAAGAAAAGAGATACCATAATAGAGGGAGCCATTATAGATTTTAAGAGAAATCTGGCACTAGGGAAATGTTCAGAGATCTACAAGGATGACACCAACTAACAACCTAAGCACACTGTGGAGAGGCTGTTTTAAATGCCTTCCCTGATAATGAGACTGATGACTATCTTATATGCCATCCTAGAGCCTTTATCTAGTAACTGATGAAAGCAGAAGCAGACACCCACAGCTAAACACTAAGCTGAACTCCTGGAATCCAGTTGCAGAGAGGGAGCAGTGATGAGCAAAGGGGTCAAGACCAGGCTGGAGAAACCCACAGAAACTCCTGTCCTGAACAAGAGGAGTTCATGAACTCCAATTTGACAGCTGGGAAACCAGTATAGGACCAACTCATACTCCCTGAATGTGGATGTTACTTAGGAGGACTGGGCAGTCTATGGGGCCTCCGGTAATGGGTCAGTATTTATCCCTAGCATAAGAATGGACTTTGGGAGCCCATTTCACATAGAGGGACACTCCCTCAGCCTAGACACGTGGCAGAGGGCCTAGGCCCTGCTCCGAATGATATGACAGACTTTGAAGACTGCCCATGGAAGTCTGCTCCCTGGGGAGCAGAAAGGGGATGAGTTGGGGATTGGTGGGGGAACAGAGGAGGATGGGAGGGTGTGGGAACTGGGATTGAAATGTAAAACAATCTTGTGTCAAATTTAAATTTTAAAAGTATAAAAAATATTAAATACATAACAGGCATTTTAAAATCTCAGTGAATGTAGTATATTTCCAGGTACACTATCCTTTTCGTAAATATAGCAACATAATTTTATTTTTTTATAGTTCAGCAGTTTATTTAAAGACAAATTTATTTATAAATACATTCTGAAATACTCGAAAAATTTTAGCTAGAATGCTGATCTAGGCACATCATGCACATGCATTGAAATAGCACACTTTGTCCCACAAATATTACAGTGACTAGGTCTCAAAGAATAGGGAAACAAAACCCAAGAGTGACAAAAAGAAAATAGCAGCAGCCACCAGTCAGCTGTCATGTACTGCCTCCTCTCCAGAGGCCAGCCAGATAGCTATACTGCAAAGTGACTCAGTTAGAAAAGGTCCCAAGTACCCTTTGTTCTCAAATCACAGTGAACTTTTAGAAAAAGAGTCTTGCATGGTCTGCTCTATTTTAATTCTTAGTTGAATGGTATCAGGAGGTAACTGTTTGCAACTATCACACTTCTCAGCTACCTTAGCCAGGAGAAGTGTGGCTGCAGCAATGTCCAAGCTCTTAGAAATTCCACAGTCTGGGCTTCAGGCTAGGGCTTGCGATTTCTTTAAATTCTTTGCTGTGAATTCTGCTCAGTTCAAACAAAATTGACACATTTCAAACCTAGACAGGCAGGGAGTCATCTGAAAGTTCCTGTTGAGGCAGGCAATCCTGTCAGGCTGTCCTTGACGGGTCTGTGATAGTATCTGGGGTTTGTTTGTAGTTGGTTTTTCTTTTTCTTCTTTCTTTCTATTTTATCTTTGTGTTATTTGCTGGAAAATTCCAAGTGAAGTTACCACTGATGAATATGAAATCATCAGGGTGACTGTGATGTCACTCCTCTCCAGAACACAGACTTTGATTGACCTTGAGCACTTTCTCAGACCAGAGATGATATGACACATTGGAAAAACTGAGAAAAAGACTCCACAGGTCTCAACAGCATTTACAAATAAAACTAAGAGTGATAAAATAGAATATATTGGAGTTTATATTCCACAGTGAAGGTAGACTGTTTATGGAGCTTGTGTGTGTGTGTGTGTGTGTGTGTGTGTGTGTGTGTGTGTGTGTGCTGAAGGTTTAACATGTGATCCGATTCTTTCCTTATATTCATAGTCTTAGGTACTAAAGAACCCAACATAGTGCTGATACTGACTAATCACAGTTCACATCAGATCCAAAGCCTGTAAAATGCATGGTCTGCTTTCATCTCTAGATGTTGAGGGAAAGATCCAAAAGAGTATTTCATGATGAAAATCATGAGATCTCAAACTTTTGTGTCTACGTGGTACTGCTAGAATCTAACCACTCCCATGTGTTTCATATTGTCTGAATCCACCTCACCAGCTTTGAGTTCAGTAGCTGAGACAGTTACTTTATGGCTGACAAGGATTAAAATATTACAATATTTATGAAAAAGGTTTGGCAAGCCCTGATCTAGAGGAGTTGTGTGTGTATATGTGTACATGTGGTCATCGGGGTGTTGCACATGGCACATGTACATCAAAGGTTAATCTTTGGTGTCGTTATCTAAGATGCTGTCCCTGCTTTATTTGACATCAGGTTTCTCACTGGTCTGGCCTGGAAGTTATGGAGTGGGCTAGGCTGGCTGGCTAGTGGTCCCCAGGAATTGCATGTCTCTACCTCTCTAGCTGTGGGATGACAAGTGTAGGTCACCATGCCTGGACTTTACATGGCTCTGGGGGTTTGAATTGAAGTCCTCATGCTTGTATGAGAAGGCCTTTGACAACTACTGAACCCTCACCCCATCCTGGAGAACTAATTTTTATGATGCATTTTTCTCATGTGTATAACCTCAGTGTGTGTGTGTGTGTGTGTGTGTGTGTGTGTGTGTGTGTGTATTAATTTGTTGAATGCTTATAGAAAAGAGGCATTTAGGGATGCCATGGGCACTATTGAAGCTTCTCACATCTCACAGAACCCATTATATTCTATATGTTGCTCCCTTGGCCTCTGAGTCTTCTAGCCTGGAGCACCCTTTGGAGTTGACCCAGAGCCCCTGGAGCAGCTTTTCCTGACTACAGGGGGTTGAATTACTGTCATTG